TATAGAGTAAGGTTTTTATATAGTAAAAATTTGGTTTCTGATTTACAGTGCGTTATAGAATGGAGGCCGTTATAGAGAGAGTGAACTGTACTGCCATTATTTTTCAATTATCATAATTCTTATTAGTCAAGTAACAACTATCTTATGCAGTAGCAAAATAATTAAAAATAATTCAAGTTTCTTTATTTATTAGATTGTTTTACACATAAAATAAAATGCAATAAATGTTATAGCCCGATCAACAAAAACTCTTATAATAGTAATCAAGCAAAAAAACAAAAAAACTATAGCCGTAGAAATCGCCATATTGTATCATCTCATGGGGCTAAAATGTCATCTGCAGATTCTTTAATGTCACCATTATCACCTTCAAGAATAGGATTGGGATCTTCACCTTAGCATTACTATTCAAATTAATTTGATGTAAACTTCTAGAAGTGATTGAACATTTTTATCAACACCACCCTTGATAAAATCTAAGTCTAACCAATGCAAGCACCTTGGTTAAAACATGTGTTATAATATGCATGGCCACATGGCAATATCCGTCCTGTTACTTCAGTGATTATAGTTTTAGTAATAAACAATTAGAAGAATCACGACCATACAAACTAAGCTTATGCAAAGAGCTATACCCTAAAGGTATATGACAAAGCCATGCTTCCTTCATCTTCATTGCTGGAATAGGAATACTGTTTCCTGTATTAGCACTTCCTTTCTAATGGGTGTTTCATAGAAACCTGTGATGGAATTAAAAATTGAATTTTCCTATGATTAATACAAGTATAGATATCAGTAAAACAATCTAGATGCAGTTTTTCATGTCAAAGTTTTCCTAAAGTCATCATCATTAAATTGAGAATATGCCTACTGCCTGTGAAAAAGTTAAATTATTATTATCTTTACTAGAAGTTTCTGTATAAATTTCTGGCTAATTATGGTGGGACTGTTCTAATGCATTCAATTGCACTTTTTGTTATGATTCCACTATAACAGTTTTAAACAAATTGTATCCCTAGTTGAACATAATTTGGAAAAGGTTTGTTAGTTTGACCTTTGGAAATAACATATTCAGTCACCTTTCTCCAATTGGAGGACTGTTTCTTGCATATAGTGATTGCACATGATCCTGTAATTAAGGTTGCTTGCCAAAACTCCTCCAGAAATCAACCAGCAGGGTTTGGCAGGTTACACATTAATTGTTTATTAGAGTTTTGGCAGAGTTCCTTTTTTGAGGTTTCACCATTTCAGCATAGTTTCAACAGGATTTTTGATAAGATTTAATATAGTTTTGCCATGGTTTCAGCAATTACTAAGGTAGAGGTTGGAATCGACTAAAATAGTTGACTAACTTTTTTTTTAAACAACTAATAGTTGACTACTTTAGTTGTTTATTTAGTTGACTATTTTAGTTGACTATTTAGTCGACTAATACTAATTATTATTATTGTCTGGCCAATTATAAATGAAAACGTCTTTTGTGGTACAAAAAATTTTAATAATAAAAATAAATATGCGGAGTATCAATATTATGAAGAAGATGATAATGGTGG